TTTGGGCGATGGACCACTGTCAATGACACCACTCCATGATATACTTGTACCGGCACCAGAGAACATGCCCTGACCACCCAGATGGTAGGTGGTTACCAGCTGTGTCCTGATATATTTAATATTTTTAATACAGTTGTATCACGTATTTGGCAGCAATTGTTTTTGGAGACTTTTATTTTATAAAAGTTGTTCTGTTCACTTTGTGCTCTTTTATACGTCGCTATATATTTTGCACAGCTACTTGTTGAAGTTTGTTTATCTGAATGATTTTAATTTATGCAGAATTTTTATTGAATGTTTTACTGAATATTGTTGTGTTCATTTATATATATTTTAGAATTTGTGTTGCAACAGTGCTATCATAAAAAGACTCTTTTGGGGTGCAAATTAGATTTTGGCTAAATGGCTCTGTCCTGCTGTATGTATATGAAATACTGATGTCCTGCTGTATAATAAACATAAAACATGCATGTCCTGTGACCTGTTTTTGTGTGTTTATTGCACTGTAAGGTTAATTATACGGCACTGCTTTCTTTAGCCCATTAATGCTCATATTTTCCAATTTATCAACTAACGGCGAAAAAGTGAGATTTTATCATTTAATTTATCAGTCAGTGTTTGGATCACATGGTACTGACTTTTTTACCAAAACAACAGAACATCCAGTATTGAGTGTGAACAAAAGTGGTGAAAATTGACGTGTTTTCAAACTCAATCACATGTGGTACCGTTCATCTAAACAGCCTATGCCATAGTTTGGCCAACCGTGATAAATTATGATTTGTTGATTTTCTAGGTGAAATTAGTCACGTGAATGTATATATGGGAGCCCGTCCCACATTTAGGGTTTTTCCAGCATGTTAACTTTTGTTGTGCATAGATTTAGCAGAAATTACATGTTTAATTGTGTTTCTCTATAAAGATGTTAACTATTTTTTTGCAATTACAAATTCCACAACACATGTCCGTTTCATTGGGGTGCCCAAACTTTTGCCTGAGACTGTACCATTAGCTGAATATTACATCACTTTGGCTAATAAATGGGTCAACCAGCCAAACATAAATGGCTTAAAGGCAAAAAAACATAAATAAGCGGCTGAGCCTGTGCAATTACACAAGCGTATCTTCTACACAGGAACGTTCCTGTATTGCAGTGTTAAAGTTATCCTGTATAATAAGTGGACAGTTCCTGTGTAGTTATTATGTAGGTACTGTGTAATAATGCAGTGGTAATATAGATGCTGTATATATTAGGGGTGGGAATCTCTAGGCACCTCACAATTCAATTCGATTATGATTCAGAGGCTGTGATGCGATTATAAAACGATTATCGATGCATCTTGATGCATCTTTTTTTTCTATATAGCATTTATATATTTATATTAAATAAGTTTATTTATCACTTGCACAACATGTCAGGACATTTATGCATTGAAATGCTTGTGGTGAGGCTCAGCTAATCACTCTACAGAAAGTAAATAAGTAAAAATAAAAATACAAGAAAAACCAACTGAAATATATTAAATATACACAAAATATACACAGAATGTAGAGACAATAAACATCTTAAAGTGACTGAGTGACTCTGTGATATTGTTATTTAAAGTGACTTGGTAGTTTTAAAGCAAAGTATTTGTCATGATCCATAATGAATTTACTTCCAATATCTTTTTTAATAAAACAGATGGAAGTGATGTGGCAGGTGAACTAGAAGGTTCTCATTCAGTGCTCTTGTTTGGAGCACGAGAAGCTGCTGCCACTCATCTGCGATAAATGCGCAGTTACGGTGAAATAAGATCCTGTGGTAGTGGATCTCCACGCAGCACGTTACAGCCGTCCTACCCGTTTTCTTTAGTGATTTTATAACTTTGGTTTTGGTCTAGTTGTAGAGACGGGGGGTGATCGCTGTGTCAGTAAAGTATCTTTGAGACAGGTCGTGTGCAGCATAGCGCGAAAGCCCTGTTTCACAACGACTGAGAACCAGCGTGCAGACTGCAGGTCACATAGCAGCGATGCGTTATTCGCATTTATAAGCAGCGCAGTTGGTTTCCTGGTACGTTAAATCTGCAACGATAGACTGTCAAACACTAAAAAGTGGCGAAGCTGAAGTCGCTTCTCTTTTGAATTCTCCTGTTCCACCTTAAATGGTGCCGCATTTACATTCATGCATTTACGCCTCAGTTAGAATTTAAGGTAGAACGGGAAAATTCGAATAAGAAGCGACTATAATATATATATATATATATATATATATATATATATATATACATACATATATATGTGATATATATATATATATATATATATATAATCACAGCACTAGCAACACAAATGCTGGCTAAATGTTAGGAAAGCTGGCAGACCCTGTGTAAGTAATGTCTTAATGTCCGCTATTACATACTTCTTTTTACTGCTGGGGAAAAAAATTAAAAAACTGCCGTTCCAGTCTGATTACTAGTGAAGTGTAATTACATATGTTATTTACTTCTGTAACAGTGACTAAATCATTAGTAGTTACATTGTTGTTGCATATGTTGTTCACATGTAACTACACAGCTATTAGAGACACTTAATATAAAGTGGAACCAAATCTTGCAGCAGGTAATGTCACATTACAAACAGCATTTATAATAACCTTATTACTACACATTCTTTTTTAACAAGATCAATACTGAGGCAACAGTAACAAGAACACATCCTGAGGCCTTTTCCTCATTAGGTCAGTGGCTGCATGTGGTCAGCGTCTCTTATCCTGTGTTGTCCTGTTTGGTTATTACAGGTGATCTGTGTCTATGTTGCACTGAAGCTCTGGAGGAGCGAGTTTTTTTCCACTGTATGCTTGAATATGGATGAAATGACTATAAAGATCCTGATCTTGATCGTGATGATGGGCCTTATGTGTAATAATAGAAGTTGGTTTCCCAATAAAGAGGAGCAAAGAGAATCTGACACTTCAAGTAGATAATATGACTAATAAAGAACTATAATAAGGCAATTAATGAAAGAGTAGCTGTTAATGAAGTAATGCTCTTTTTATTTGAGGGTCCCATTTCAGAAGATTTCAACCACTACCCTGTAACTCAGTTCCGAAAGGCAAGGTGACACTATACCTTGAGAGGTTCATTCTGATCATAAATGATTTTTTGGAAGATGTCGGGTGTCTGTAATTCCTGCCGTCTACCTTACTGTCCATTTTTGGAATGAGAAACAATTTGTGCAGGGCAGATCTGTCACACGTCCTTAGCTTGATGGATGGAGAAGATCTCAAGTATTTCCTCTTTAGCGCATTGCTGAAGGAGTTCCTGGCCTTCGGACGTCAGTTCTTTGGGTTTCACAGTGCTCAGAGCTCGACTGACCCACATGTAGATTCCAGGAGCTCCACCTTTTCCCTCACATTACTGAGAAGGTCAAAGATGTGAGCGCCACTGACAGGCTTCACGATGGTGCTCACAACACCCTGTTTTACAGGGTTCATCTGCTGTGATTTCACCTCAACCATAATAACATTCATATAGAAATTTAGTGTTTCGTTAGTTCCATCCTGCATCACTTGTAGTTGCCTAAAGGAAGAAAAATGCAGAGTTTCAATTTAAGATTTGTTTGCTACTTAGTTACAAGTTTAAGTTTAATAAAAACTTTAAACTCAGATTCACAAATGAGTTTCCTTTACTAAACTGCATCTGTAGGTCTCTGTTCATAAACATAAACTAGCCAAAACAAATTTACTATAAAATGAAATAGTGTTTGTATAAATTCAGAAAAAAGACACGTCAGTCACAACTGCATATGTGTACATATTTCTATATTGTGCTCTGTTTACACAAAGTTATGTTAGTTCATCATTTATGTTGAATAGACTCTCCCAAAATTTTACGCTGCTGCACTGACGTTGAACCGTGTGCTGCACTGGGTCGGTATGACCAACAGGTCAAAACAAACTCAAAACAAAGTGCACCCTGTGCCCTGATTGGTGTTCTGACTTAGCGCTTCTTTCATTTTGCCATGTTACATTTTTATGCACACATAAACCAAAAGGAACGACAGATTTCTCATAATGTAGTGGAGTAAAAAGTAAGATATCTGACTTTGAAATGTCGAGGAGTGAAAGTAAAAAGTCGCGCAAAATGGAAAAACTTCAGTAAAGTACAGATACACAAAACAACTACTTAAGTACAGTAACGAATTACATTTACTTAGTTACTGTCCACCACTGTCAGTTTCTGAAAACCTACTCATTAGGCTGCCACTCATACTCACAGTCAGTGAGGTATCTAGAACTTTCAGAAGGCAAAGAGTGATATTTTTCTCATGAAATTGGTCCTATCAAAACATGATTAGTTGATTCCTTTATCACTTAATAATTGTCCAGATAAGAAAAAGCCGTTTTATTGCTAATGTAACAGAAAGTAACTGTATATTTACTGGATATATGATTATTAATCTTCTCATCTTTCCTGTGTTCTTGATTCTACATGTTTAGTCTTTTATCTGTTTCTCATTTGTGTCACTGTTTATTTGACTGTGAGGGGGCGTGTCTGCCTGTAGGCCACATCTGATACATCACTGGCTAAAGGTTTCTGCATTAAACATCACCGTGTTTATGAGCGACTGGCACGTTTGTGATTCTATGACTGTATGTTGAACAGATTTTGGTGCAGATTTATTGTTATTGATGTTCTGTGTCACAAAAACTCTTCTGGAGTTAAAAGTGTCGTGATTTACTAAACAGACGCAGCAGCTCTTTAGAATAAGATCAAAGAGGAGGAGCTGCTGTTTTTTGCCTCTGACTCAATACATCTGCAAGACAGACAGACAGACAGACAGATAGACAGACAGACAGATAGACAGACAGACATATAGATAGATAGATAGATAGATAGACAGACAGACAGTAAGGCAGACAGATAGATACACATATATAGTTAGACAGAAAGACAAAGACAAACAAATAGAGAAATAAATAGATAGATGTATAGACAGAGAGATAGACATATAGGCAGATAGACAGATAAATAAACAAAGAGACAGATAGATTGATAGATATATAGATAGACAGATAAATACATATATAGATAGATAAATAGACAGACAGACAGACCCAAATCGCATATGACTTTGTTTTTCACAGACAGTTTTGATGTAAACAGAAGGTAAAAACCTTTTCTCCTCATGTCAATCATGATTTTGAAGGTTTAATTAAGATTTCAGGAGGCAAATTTATTTACTACACGTTTATTTTAAAAGGGCAGTTCAAAGTGCTTTACAAAGTGATGAATAAAAACAAAACATAAACAGTACAATAAAATAAGGGGGAAACAAAAAACTAAAATGAACTGAAAAGAAGTGCAAAGTCTAAATGGAAAGTATGAAAGATGCAGAAGATAAAAAGAAGAGTCTGACTTTAAAGATTTAAAGACGAATTAGGGGCAAATCTGAGATCTTCTGGCAGCCAATTCCAGCTTCAAGCAGCAGGCGAGCTGGTTTAGAGCCACAGAAGGACTTTTATATTTCATTGGTTTGGCCAAAACTGTTTCTGCTACATGTTGAATACAGTCTATGTAAAGAAACAGAGTTTTAGGATTAAACAGGTGAAGGCTGACATCCTGCATTGATTGGGGAATTTAAACTTAAAACTAAATTTCAGGCTGGATTAAAGCTTTAATTTGGATCCGTTGGTACACCCAGGTTTCTGACTTAGTCTTTAGATACTGGAGCTCTGAAGTCTGCACTGACCTTCAGTCTTTCCTCTTCATTGCCAAGTAATACAACTTCTGTGTTGATTTATCTGGAGGAAATGTTGACAGATCCTTTAACTCATTTTAAGATCTGTTTCTACAGCACATTTTACAACGAGCGTCACAAAGCAGGTTCAGAGAAAATCCAGGTCCGAGCCCCAAATGAGCAAGCCGAGGGCGACGGTGGCAAGGAAAAACTCCCTAAGAGCAAGAGGGAGAAACCTTGAGAGGAACCAAGACTCAAAAGGGGAACCCATCCTCCTCTGGTCGACTGGATTTGCTCTGAGCACCGACACAAAGTATCTATGGGACCACAGTCTTTTGGTGAGAGAGTGAAGTAAACCTGGGTGTCGTCAGGAGAACAGTGATAGGTGATTTTGTGTTCTGGCAGGATTCGGCCTGACGGGAGCACGAAGAGAGATTATGAAGATCTTAATGGAAATGAATGAGCTTAAAGGGGCCCAAGGCAGCTGATTTTCCTAAACCAGCAGAACATCCTGGAACAAATGGACGCTCTCCTAGGCTTCTCCTTTTTTGACACACTCTTGGATCCACCTGCAGAAAGAAGATTTCACATTCAGTGTTTGCATATCAAATAATGGAAATGGCTATTTTACTAAATATGTAGTGCCTGTTTTAAAGTTATATTGCCATTTATCTCAAACTTCACTAAATCTAAACTACACATGAATTTAATTAACCATGTAAACTTACTCATATCAGCAGTGCGGCGACTCTGCAAATGGTCCTGATCTGAAGATTGACCAGCATTATCGTCCTTTCTGGATTTCTATGATGTGAGAAATTGATCATATCATCAAACTTGTAATCATTTAAGTCTCACCACAATTCAAAGTGTTCATATTAATATTGCATATAACAGCATGTTAATAATATGATGTACATAATGTTACTGGGACAAAATAGCACAACATTAAAACTACTTTAAAATGATTCTTACCTTTTTGAAGATGCTGGGCTTTGGCATCTTGAGATTGAAGATGTTCTTGAGCTTTTTCAGGTTCATGTTCTTCGGCCTCTCTGTTTCGGGCCCTGCAATTGAAGCATCTGCATCTAGATGCTTCCGTAAGGCAGTCATCAGGGCCTCATCAAATGCAGAGTCTCGAGGGTCCAAAGCTTTTTGCAGAGAACCTTCCTCACCAAACCTTTGAAAGAGCTCAAGAAACGTACCTGTTAGAGCTTCCTCCAGCTTTGCAGCACTAGAGGATGCAGAGAACTCGCTGAGAATTCTCTCAATCAGCTCTTTCGGATCGTTCGAGCTCGCTTCCTTTGTTAGGTCTGATGAAGTTGCTGCTGACTGCGCCAGAGTCCGAAGAACAAGCCAAGTTGCCAGGATGGCATGATCCTTTGTTTCCGACGTAAGCAGACCTCTGCTTGAGACTTGGCTTGATACGAAAACGTCATCAGTGATCTGGCTGGAGACCAAAGGTTCCTCTTTGATAGAGGGAGAGGAACCAGACTCAACCGATGCAGGACGGTACAAGTCTTTAGGGTCTGCACTCTTAATTGCCCTGACGACAGAAACAGCCAGAGATCCTGCCAACAGCTCACTCTGGGCTTTTACTGCTTCAATGAGCTGATTTTCGGATCTCATTCTCTGAAGAAGCTCTTCATACACAGCATCAATGATGGAATGGTGAAGTTTTTGGAGAGCATGCTCTCCATCTTCCACTGTGACAGCAGTGAAAAGGGATAAAATTCCTTTGACCATGTTGGTAACATTCTGGACCTGGTCCTCATCAATTAAGAGAGGAGATCCATGGACCCCAGTGGATGAAATCCCCTGTACTTTTTGTAATATTGCACGTACGCAACAACGGAGAGCATCCACGGAAATGATTGGACGAGATGTGTTGATTTCTTCAGAGCTGTGTGAGTCACTTTCTGGTGTCTCTTCAGCATTTGAATCCACAGCATCCAACTCATGATTGGACAGTGCTGACACTTTGTCCATCACACTGTTCACGATTACTTCGGAGAACAGATCCACTGTGTCAGAAAACACCTCAGATGGGGGTCTTGAGATCTCAAAACTCTCAGGAGTGACTCTGAAGGGCATCACCAGACTCGGAATGTCATTAGCAGTGGTAGAAACTGGTCGAGGGGCAATGCATGACCTGAGCAAACATTTCACCGCCTTGTCTGCAAATTCAACAAGAAACTCCGAAGCAAAGGGTCGTTGTAGGTAAGGGTAGTGCCGTAGAACAGATGCTGACATGTTCAGAGAACTTAATCTGTCTGTCAGTATGAGCCGGACCATGTTGGCCAACTCCTGAGGGGCTGCGGTCGAAAACAGGTCCTCCACTCTTTCTGCTGCTGCAGATAACTCCTCAAGAGAGTTAAAAGGACCTGAGCTCTGTAAACCCAGGGAGGCCATCATGGTGTCCAGTAAAGAGGCCACTGAAACCCTCTCTCTGCTCTTAGGTGGCTCGTGTTCATCGATCACTGATGGTCTTTCTAGGTGTGATTTCTTACCAACACTTCCCCCAACACTGATCTCTAAAGGATCGACCTTAGGTGGTTTCTGCTGATACACTGCAGAAAAATCCCTGAGGTGTCTCATGGCACTGTTGTAAGTACTACACGCAGTGTACCACAGAATCTCCTCAGGGGCGTCAACACCTGATTCCATCCAACCCAAAGCTTCAGACCGTGTTTCTTTCAAACCATCTGGTGTTGTAGAATCCAGATGTTCGCAAATTCCATCAATGACGGAATCGACGAGGTCGAATGCCTTAAGCAAACATTCCGACGGAGTTGGTTCCACACTGCAATGTCTTTGGCTTGTGTGAGCACGCCGGGAACGTGGAGAACTCACAAGGAAGCTTGAAGACTCGAGTAAGATTTTACTCACTTCCTGAGCTGCCTTGATCCGAGTATCCTCACTCTGGATTTTCTGGAAGCTCTTAGCTGAGAAGCTTCGACAGAAAGAAGGTACCCGACAATCCAGAGTAGTGGCAGGTATGCGGTCTCCGAAAGATGAACCTGACACCTCTTGGATGTATGCCATTAAATGGTCTACAAGCAACTCTGATACGAGAGATGTATCAGAGGTACATTGTCCAAGTACTGACCGAGCATCCTCAGATACCTCGGACTTTGTAAATGAGTCCAGGTGGACTAACAGCTCATCCACAAAGATTTTGGCATACAAGGATGCGTTCCTCAGAGTTTGTCCAGGAACGGAAGTCTCCATCTTGCAAGCCATATTGGTCAGTTTCATAAGGCTGGGGATTCTATGACAGGACTTAGCTCTTTTGAGTGCTTTATCAGCCATGCTGTCACTTCCACCACAGGCTGGATCAGAGCTGATATCATTACTGATCGATGAACTCTGAGAGGACGTTTTCATGTCACCCAGCTCTGATAGCAAGCATTCTGCAAAATCTCTGACGCACATCTTTGGAGGGCAAGACAAATCCAATGCACTCTTCAGTTCTTTGGCCTGATAGATGGTGTAAACCTCAAGAATCACATCTTTAGCACATTCCTCAAGTTGTGCCTGGTCTTTGGATGTCAAGCTCTCAGCACTGGGCTCAACAGACAGTGACGAATTACGGCGCTCAACTGACCCACAGGAAGACGCCAGGAGCTCAGTCTTTTCTGTCACATTTCTATGAAGCTCAAGCATGTGAGAATCATCAAGAGCGTCAATGATGGTCTTCACAATGGTGTTCAGAACTTCTTTGGTGACTGACTCCAAAGAATGATTTAAGGATCCTGGTCTCGCAAGGAAAAGCGAACTGGCATCCATATTCAGAACTTCACAAGTTGTTGGAATGATGACCTTCTGTGATACTGTGGTCACGATCTTCTCAATGGCCATGTTCAATTTGGTGATTTCATCCCTCGTAAACTACAAGTAAAAGAACATATTGACAGGATTAGTCATCACTAGCATTGCCTTACAGGGTTCATCTGCTGGGATTTCACAATAATGATATTAAAATAAAAATATAAATGAATTGTATTTGAATTATAAAAGCTCACCATTTGATGCATCCCACCAAGTATGACTTGTAGTTGCCTGAAAGATAAAAGATAATGCAGAACAGCCATTTAGTGCTGATGTAACAGAGACAGCGACTTTTGCACTAAAGTGACGATCATAAAAGTACACAAATTCATCATTATTGAGTCTTGTCTATTTAACCACCCTAGAGGGAAATGTCATGTCTGTTAGCTTGTTTCATCACATTTTATTGGCTACCAGCTGCTAAAGAACCAGGATTAACCAATCAGGATTCAGATCTGTTACCATAACATTAATAATTTGAAAGCTAACCTGCTAGCAACATAGCTGTAATGGAAGATAAGCCATAATAAATGCCATATATGTGTTTTATTCCTTATGCGTAGTAATGTCATTCATATGTATATTTCATATCTGTGTACCTGTATATACATTTGTACATGGTGCTGGATATTTGTATGTTTGTATTTGACAGTGTACATTTGAGTAATTCCTGGCTGCACCACTCAGTGCTGAGTACATACCGATCAGTCAGGCTCTGTAGGAAATGGGCCAAAGCAGAGTCATCAGGTTCTGGGAGAGAACCTGCTGCTGCGTTACGGAGCGCTTCCTCTGCCATGGTGGACTGTCCTGAGATTTAAAAACACACAAAAAACACAAGAAATCAGGGACCTGCACAGCAGCCTTTTGTTTTGATAAGACACAAAATTTGTGTTTCCACGATTTCTCCTGCTGACAAACTAGAATTTTGCACAAGGGGGCACTACTAGAAGCATTCATTGTCTAAACAATCAAGCATAACAATAATAGGCCTAATAATGATAACAACATCAATAATAACAATAATAATAATAATAATAATGATTCTATAATACAGAATATAATAACCAGTGCAATAAACTGTAACATAACTAGAATTGTACATATAAAAATTGCCATTTTTGTCAAACACATTCAAATGTCCAAATGGTTCTATGTGAAGAACCTCATTTCTACTTATCATACTAATATCCACACCTACACAGTCAACAGCTTCACTTCTGGCTACCTTTCACTAAGTGTTCCATCACTGGTAGAGTTCTTTATCTCTGTTCTGGTTCTTTATCTCTATTCTAGTTCATTTTCTCTATTTTCATTCTTTATCTTTTTACTGGTTCTTTATCTCTATTATGGTTCTTTTTCTCTAATTCTTTTTCTTTATCCTAGTTCTTTTTCTCTATTCTGGTTCTGTACCTCTATTCTTGTTTTCTATCTATATTCTGCTTATTTTTCTCTTTTTCATGGTTTAATGTCCTGATTTGGTTCTTCATTTTCGAATTATCTTCCATTCTTCCTTCTTTTCTGGGATGTAAACAAGTGTAAAACTGTACTCACCTCAACGGGAGAAGATCCACGCTGTCCTATCTGAGAGCTTGTCGGGTTCTAGATAAATATCGCACGTCCGAACTCTACAAGGTCAGCAAGTCGACTGAACACGAGGCTGGAAACTTCAGCTATTTATATGGAAGCCCCGCCTCTTTGTGACGTCACATACGCTGTTTGGTTACCATGGAAACCAGACTCCACTATATATAAAACAGCTACATATATAAATACGTGTGTGTGTGTGTGTGTGTGTGTGTGTGTATACATATCATATATATATATATGAATGAACCCCATTAAATAAAACTCTTAGCTTTTATTGATCGTCTCTAAGCCGTTCGGCGATGTTTGTCGGTGCTGGTTGGAGTTTATTGCTGTTCACTGCTGAGAGTTTCAGCGGGACGTTCTCTTTTTAGTCCGTCTCATATCGC